GTCTGTGAAATGGAGCTACCCCTGCCCAGCCACGTGAACGAGGCAAGAGGCTGCAGGAAGAGCTGAGCATTGAGCAAGTCTCGTAAAGCAGAATGTTCAGAGGGTTAGGGCGCTGTGCCAGGGATCGCATATGCGGGGCAACCCCTGAACCTCTGCTGTAGAGGGTGCAGGGAGCAGAGGGGCCAGGGAGCCATAAGAAAATGGGTGGTTGTGTTTGTTCTTTATGCTATAAAGCAGCAAAAAAGATTTTTAACTTTGGTGAACCCTCCTTTCCAGGGTGTTATAATTCAGTAACCACTTGTCCAATTCACATCAAATTTGGTAGAAATAGTTTACTTCAGCCCCAAATTTAACGTTCCAATTTTGAGGCTGATAGGATCTTCCTGTAGTTTATAGATGTAGGGTCAAAAATCAGGGTTATAAAGGAAACTATTAGAGTCTTAAACTATGGAGTGACTATCATCACTCCATCATACTGGGATGAAGCAGTCTCTTCCACAGTGGGAATGACTCTGCTCCAACCGGGATGTGTGTGAGGCTAAGCCGTCTGGGTCTGAGAGGATAAGCACATTACTGTGTGCAGATTTCCATAAGGACTCTTTAATTTCATATCACCATCTAAATGCTAATGGTGGCTTTCTGCTTTACAATTTCACTTGCATCTTCAGCCTTGCTACAAGCAGGAGAAAAGAGTAAATTCTGCTGCTGTTTAAAAAAAATATCACCATAAAAGTGCACGAGGACAGATGATACTGAACTGATTCTCTTTTCCTAAATTATTTTTGCTTTATACTGTAACTTGAATTCTTTCATTGTAAGGCACCTCCCAGACTAAGGGTCCATTTCACTGACTGTGAGAAGCTGGAAATGTCCCAGTGATCCTGTAACTGCTGGGAAGTTTCTCCTGGGTACATGGCAGGAAATTCTCATCCTTTAATTTGTTTTTAAAATGCTCCTTTTTCTACTTGAAAAGGTTCATTAATGACTTTAGATGCTCTGTATTTATCCACGTGACCCAGACCCAGAAATTGCAATGCCTTTTCTCACACTGCATTATAAAAACAGATACAAAATACATTTTTTCTTCTTGGCTACTTTCTCTTTGTAATTTTACAACCAAAAAGTTAGTGATTTTTGTGATATTTTTCAATGAATTTTGCAAATGCTAGTATTAAGGCCTTTATCCAGAATATTGGACTGTAATTTGAGATGGTGAACAGTGAAGCCGAGTTTTGCATGTCTTGTAACATGTCTTTTGACAAAAACAGTAGCAAACACGCACATTTTGATGCAATTATTAATTAGCACATATCCTAGGGTTCATATTGTGCTCAATTAATTTGTATCCCAAATTACAGCACGTTGCTCACTTGGAATTTGTTTTTTCTTTCCTTTCTGGTGTGTGAATCAAGTTACAATGAAGATGAGGATTTCCTTCCACTCGCACTGTGCCATGGGCAACCCTCTCTGTCCAGTTACCTCCTTTCTTTTTACGGTCCATGTTTCTACATTGGAATCAGGTAGGAAGCCTCTTGTCACAGAGTATCTTCTACTTTCTCTCAATAGTTTTAATACCATTGATCA